TTGTACGTACAAACGAAAGACACAGTCTCGTTAGCGGAAGCTTTTCTTCCCGAGGACAGCGGTGCATTCATTATTTCGCCGGCGCAGAAATAGCTAAGAGACGCACGCGAACGGGCTGATGCACACCCATCCGATCCAGCAAAGTTTCGTAATTGCCCGGTTCCAGGAGACTGTTTAATATTAAACGCGATGACGCGGTGCAAGCATAATGAATTCATTTATCACGGCTCGCTTATCGACCTGATCGAGTTTTCTTATTTTTTACCGTACGTCGAGCCGACGATACTCTTTTCCGGTCTCTCTCGCCGCGTGTCGTGATTACCCGGGCGCTGGTAGCTTCCCTTTAAGCCAGAGTACTCACCTGAAACAGAGGAAAAAAAAACACATCGACGTTATTAAGGCATGTACTAGCGTCGTTTTACGCGTTTCGCTGAATAAACCGCGAATAACGCGACGCGATCGTAAATTCCGTTTGAAAAGCCGGCGGTCGTTAAAAGGTTTTTAAATTCCCCCGTTCTATTCTTAATCGCGTTTTCCGAGAGAATAGTATAACATGTATCTGCAAAATTGCATCGCTAACGTCGTAAAATTGACGGAGTTACGACGCTTTGAACAGAGAGGCGCACAGATAGAAAACTTGGTAAAGATCTGCTTTAAGAAGGTTTCCTCGTGTCCCTATAGTGTTTTCCTCGAGTTTAGCGTCTCGAGGTGCAGTTTCAAAACAGTGAGTCAAAGCTTGAATAAAAAGTAAGAAGTTTACGCGCGTATATTTTTCTTTTAGAGTTCCTTATTGCTTCTCGCGTAACCATCGTTACGTAAGTACCAAGGATTTACATATTCTTTGAACGCGAGTTTAATTCATTCGCCAAATCGTGACTGGTCATTCGAAGATCGTACCTTTCTCTTTCCTAGACAGTTTTACAATATCATCAAACTTGTCCAAACATTGGAATTTCTATATTTTACGCGGTTTGTAAGTTGCGAACTTTATTGCTCGAAAGACGGGAAGCCTCGCCAGAGAATTTGCATGGGGCGGAGATCGACGAAGAAAAGACGTCGAAGAACAGGGAATATTCGTGCCCCGGGTACGTGGGATCGTCGGACGGTAATTGTTAATTACGAGGTAAATCAATCCACGCCCCCAATTAATGATCCCATCGTTTCTGATTCACGCAATTCCGTCGGGCCACCTTCGGTGACGCTGATTGGCCGGTGTTCGCTACCATCCCCTGGACTGCCCTTTAATCCGTTTTGCGCTCCTTCCGGAGGTCGCTACGGAACGCGAACCAGCTGGAACTTTTCATTTCCGATTACCATTCCGCCTGGAACGCTGACCCTATGGATCCGCCGCCTCCTCGCCCATCGAACGAAACAATGAGAGGAATAAGAACGAGGCTACGTAATGGAACAAAACTATAGCAGAGTCTCTGAATTTTTCTCAAATTATCCCACAGAGGCACGGAATCGAAACGAAAGCTCAAACTTGGATAAAACACCGTACGCGATATCCTCGAGGGTCCGACGAAGAGGCCATCGATTTCAGTCGCGTTTTTTCGCGATAAATCCGAGGGAAACGGAACTACGGCCAAGCATTTGTGCCAAAGCATGATATTTACAAAAATGGTTTGGTACATCATCGGACGCGCGACCCCGTTTCTCCTTTATTTTCCGAATTTGCCCAAAGACTCGTGATGTAATCAGTGACCCCGTTGCGATCTCCATTCTGGCCGAAAACTCCATTAAACTTTTCGTAAAAATTTCAGTCCCCTCTGAATCGATTCGGTTACCCGTGAAGGAACAGCTGTAGCTCTTTTCCCGCCCAGTTGATCGGGAAAGCAATCAAACCGTCGCGCGAAAACTTGGAAAACGTCGGGACTCGAGTCGTTTATCAAAGGCGATACCAGAGGCGTCAAGAGCGGAGACGAACGTTTTGGTGCGTGACATCAGCAGATCTATTAGTCACGGGCCTGACGATGAATTCTCTCGCTCTACGCAGAGCCGTATGCAGTAATTACGTCGAATCTGGAAAAGGAAACGACGTCTCTCCGTAAGGGCAAACAATGCTGGGGCTAACGTTACTTTCCAAGGAAACCTTTCATTACGTTTAACGAGAAAAATTCACCCAGCCGCGTCGCTCAGCTGCTGCCTCGACCCGTTACGCGCGAAACCTAACTGACTTTCTATCGTTTTTAATTCCGTAGATTCGGAGCGTACAACAAGGTGGAAAAAGTTCTGGGAAAATGAGGGCCAGTGGAACGGTGTCGCCTGCAACACTTGTTAGGCGCGACCAGGTTCCGTGAAACCTTTGTGATTCCGTGAATTTCCCCGCAGAGAGCGTCTGAAAAGACGATGCTTTACATGCAATCTTCTTAGTCTCGAATAATTTTCGTACTACTGGACAATTGCAGTAAATAAAACGTTCGTTCGAAGCCAAGAACATTATTAGTGGTTGGAAAGCAAAAATAGCTAAATAATGAATAAATGTTTATTCATAAAAAGTGTAGCGTTATTCGAACAAAACGCAAGGACTCTTTGTCCAACCCAGTATAACGGATGAAAAAATATATGATGTCATATTACAAGAATGTACAATTGAATTGCAGAGTGATTTAACCGCCTCGTGCTTAAGTAGGCGCGCGGGAGGTCTAGTAGACCCCCACTGGAATACATTATGCGCTGCTGTCTGGCAGAGGCTGGCTGGTTTTTAATTAAGTTTTCAAAATGATTCGCGAACAAGAAATCTTACTAAACCCAAAAAAAAATTAAGAAAGCTGGTACGCGGAGCTATAAAGATACTCTTAGAGAATTAATAGCGTGGTCGTTAGTTAATATTGACCATACGAGAAGTGGCTGGCCTTATGTGGAGTCCGTGTAGCAACACGCAGCCTTTAAACGCCGAAAGTTGTTACACTCGAGCTCTCGCGAGACGTTGTGTACGCTATTTATTCATTTCGACCCTAAATTACGCTGCCCGTTAACTGGAATAGTACCGCCACCCTTACAAATCGCCACCATTGGCCAGAAACTCGGTTCTCAAGGCGCGATGCCGGAGCCTCGATTCCACCGGGAATACCGAAAGGAATAGCGATCGTGGGCGTGCCCTAAGCTGGGCTTAGGGCTCGGGCTGCCTCCCGTGGAACGAGTTAAACCCGGCTTAATGGCGTATATTCGTCTCCTTTCCAGGAAAACGCGCGGTCGAGCGACGTCTCCGATCGGGAACATCCAGCAACCCGACAATCAGAATTACAGGAATACTTTATCCGACCGACTAACGAAGAAGCTTGTGCGCAGTTTGCTTTGTCCAGGTATCGAATTCGCCTGACAAACCCAGACGTTCGTTAAGGTCGCGTGGAAAGTTCGATGGTCATCATCGATTCATAAGCAGGACACCGATCGTGACCGAAATAACGAGTGACGGGGATCGTTCGATTCCAGACGGCGGACGCGACGAACGAGGCAGGACAAGTTCACAGGCGACGCTTAACCCCTAGAAATACCAGGTGAGAGGGGGCCTCCAACCCGTCATTTTAATACCAGTCGATTCGACAAGTTTCAGATTCCATGCTCGAAAGTTACGGAAGCATTGTTTGTTTGCAACGTTGAATTTCGTTTAAAAGTTATCGATATACTCTGAAAATACGCCTCATCGAACGTCGCCTTTGGACGGAAAATATAGGTGAGCTCGGTAAGCTCTCCGTCTCGTACGTACGAGGTCGACCCTTGATCTTTCTAAGGGTAATGGGGTGTGGATGACCTCAGCCCTTAAGAACGTAGACTTTTGAAATAGAAAGCGAACGCGATAACGAACGGAATCTTCCGTTTACCAAATAATCATCCAAGCAGATATCGATCACACGCTTCGATGATTTATGGCCAGAAGACAGGGGATCACCGGGGTCGCGTATATTATTCAGTCGTTTCACAAACCTTTCCATAATTCGTATTCTTGATTAAGTAAATTGTATTCGCGGAGAATATGCGCGAACAAGCAAAAACTATTAATCATCGATGTTGATTTTAATGCACGTGACTCGTTGGTGATTTTATGATTGAAAAAGTTGTCGGATCTTTAGGTGGCTTGCAACAAAATAGCGCGTTGCTTAACGTGAATTTTTTCGTTCGTTCATTTTTAACCGAGAAATATTAACCACGGTACTCAAACTCGATTCAACGGATGATAGGAGAACGAATGTAAAAAAAAGCAACGATGGACGTCTTATGATTCGATGTGGTAAGACCGATTATGTACGTCTACGTTACGTCACGAGATTGCATAGTTCGGCGAGCAAAAAATAACGAAACGACCTAATGCTTCCAATTTTTTTTTTCGACGCGATGGTTCGAACGATCACCTTGGTTGCGTAAACGACGTCAGCGAACTGACAAGCAACATGACCCAATTGACAATCTTCGATTATTACGAAACTAGATACACGGGCAGAGCACTCGAAAATATTAGACACGTATTTTATTCGATTTTCGTGTCGTGCTTGACATAGTTAAACGTCTACGAGATTAAGAAATCAATTCTTTAGACGTTTAACTAAATAAGACTGAATCGTTCCTTTCATTGTAAGAAAAATACGGGTCTAACTCTTTGCACTCCACTAGCGACCATATACGAATTTCGAGAAACGAGTAAAACATGCAATAAAAAGGAATGTGCATACATTTCGTAGCATCGACCGTGATCTCCAAACGAGCGTCTGAGGACTCGCAACTTTTCTGGTTGAAATAAAAGAAAATATATACTACAGTTATTTTGAAAAAATCTATTCCCTTGCAAGCATAGCGAACGAGCATCGTAAAAACCCTCTTGGCCATAGTATCGGTTTTCACTCTCGAACTTCGCCGTAACCTTTGCCACCCGAACTCTGATACTTCTGTACCGAACGAATCGTCCCAAGGAACTGCTCCGCCATCGACAATGTCGCGACGGGCGCGCCACTTCCTCCGTTTATATTTAAATGATCACCGCAGGATGTAACTTCTAAATGTACCTTCGTGAAAGTGCACCTTCCTCAGAGGTCGATGCCTCCCATTCTCCTGCGCCGACAGATCGTGCGGCCCCAGGTTCTCCCTCGACAGAGAGCTCACCAGGATCCCCCTGAGGGTCGCGAGGGTGCTGCTCGGTATCTCCCTGTTCATATCGTCGGCTCCCATGTCACGCAGAATGTCACCAGCACAGACATCGCGGTAACCGTTCAACCTCCAGCGATTCGAGGCTCCGGACACCACCCTCTCGCATGATTCGCCGGGAAAAATGTGCCTTTGCCAAGATTCTTGGTGAGCTTCGTCGAACGCGAAGCGACCCGATCTCTGCCGCAACACAATCGATGGTCTCGAATCCGGATAACGCGTATCGATCGTCCGCGCGGAGCTACCGGACAGGGATTAAACACTGTTCGCGGATCACACTCCCTCTTACGAAACACTTGTCCCTAACAATGGGGGTTTGGAACACAGAAAAAATATCACGCTTGTCCTTGCACGGTACTGTTTGGTACAGAGAACCTTGGCTGGGAGGAACTTATCGAAACTTTTAACGCTGACGCTGGACTTTTTGGCGAGTATCCTGGTGAAATCGGGATTGCAAAGGGGGTCACACACTTTTTGCACTACCAAGCGTTTAGTACGAGGATCCTTGATCTAATTCTTGGCTACCGATTATGTATAACTGTGGAACGGTGCACTGGGATAGGAATTAAACACTGTTTCGTGGGAGACGTCTTAGAGGTTCGATGGTCGTCTCCCTATCCCCTAATTTGGGGTATGAGTATTCCTGGCTATGAAGAGACAACAGAGGTTCACGTGGGGTGTTAAAGAAAAAATTTTAAACACTGTTTTCTCGTCCAGTCGATACAAAAATAGTCTCCCAAATCGATAGCACTGTTTCTTTCGCGGTCACGTGTTAATTTTATCCCGGCTCCGCCAGGAATAACCCCGTACGCGTAAAAAGAGCCTGTATCGGGCGAAGCCAGTCGCGTCGAATATTCACTGGACGATATCGAAAGGTTCGCGAAGAGCACCGTGACGGCCCTTTTCACCGTGACGTGCGCGAGCTCGTAACTGGCTTCTTCGTAGGCCGTCGTCGACGGTCACGAGCTGCCGTTGCGTCACCATGTAAATTTAATCGGCTGTTTAGCGGCTGATGGCTCGGTCCCGAGGTGCAGCCAAAGGTCGCGTGCGAGTGGATACGACGTACGCGAGCGGATCCATCGATATCGATCCGCTTGTCGGACGCTCGGAAAATCGACACCATCGTCGACGCGGATCCGGCGTAGAAAGTACCTTTCTCCTCGAGCAATTTAGAAATTCCGTCGGCGCGATTTTCCCCCGTGGAAACATCGATGGCCGCGAGAAACACGCGACGCACCGTGACGGAATAATCGCGCACTGTCGTACGCGAGGCACGCGATACCCGATCCGGCCACCTGTCGATTTCAAATTTCGCGGGCGGCTAACGTTCGAGACGCTAGGAACTTTCTAGGAACTCGATCGTCGAACGGTGGAGTCGCGATCGCGGTGACGAACGAACGAGTCGACGGTACATGCTCGAGACCGTGTGACTTGCTCGAGAAGCCACAGGTCCCTCCACGCTCGTGGCAAGTCTTTCTTGCTCCTTCCTCGAGCTTCTCCCACTCCGCGATTCTCGACGGACACTCGGTGGATACGTACACCTTCGGCAACGTGCCGTCTCGCACTCCCGTTTCTACCTATTCGAGACACCATGGAGTGGGGACAGGTGCTCGCCTTGTCTCCTATCGCGAGAACGCGTCACTGTTTGTTTCCTACGTAGGTGGAATTTCGCGATTTAAATCCCGCTTCTCGAGCCTCGCGGGACGCTAACGAGCGAATTATGAATCACAGGAGCAAACCACCCGGGAGCGGTCGTACCGGTTCTGTGTTTCTCACGACTTCTGGAGTCGATCTTCCGCCGCGCCTGAAATAGATCCCGATCTAAACACCGCGCGCGCCAGGCTTACGGATTTGTTAGCGCACGCACGATTTTAGTCTTTGTAGGAGGGGGTCAGCGTTGTGGATTATAAATCAACGGTCGAAGCAATCGTCCGGTAAAAGGTGTTCCGGGTTCGAGTTCCGGTCCAATAAGCTGCGTGGCCAAGTACGCTATCTTTTAGCCTCGATTACTTTACCGCGATCTGAAAGTTAACGATGTTTCTCCTAAAGTAACGGGTTCGCCGTTTGAACGAGCCGAGAGTAGCGAGATAATCTTTTCAGAAGCGAGTTACCTCGAAGTGTACAATTTTAATCGAACGTATACACGAACACGAGAATAAAAATATTTGATATTCGACCTAATTTTATTGATTTTGAACAAGCAAGAGATTTCAGACCGGAGAAGTCTGGGTTTACGCGATACGAGCTCGGTGTTTTTCCAGCGAAAATAAACTCGTATTGCGGCGTACGATACCATAATCTTGGCCAGATAATGCAGCGTGTGATTCAGATTGAAAATTATCGCGCAAGAATCGGTATAGGACGTTTTCAATGGATCTGCAACGGCATGTATGAAAAGGAGACCAGGCTAAAGTCTCAAGTTCTAAGTCTAGACACTCTCTGAATAATTGCCATGACAGGAAAAAGAGAGGTCTGAGGTGAATTTCATATCATTGAGATAATAATCGTGCCGCGTACACGCAAGAAACGTGGCACAGTTCGAGCAGAATACCCACGAGAGTTCTTTATTCTAAATTATTTTATTAATGTTATCTCGTGGACGTTAACTTTCGAAACGATATTTATGCCACTGTTTCCGTAACAAAGTTTTCGGCGATGGAAACTAATAGATACACATTTAGAGGCATTAAAGAATAGATTGTTCATAAAACACCGAGTCTCGGGTTTCAACAGGTCCTCCTAGAGTAATAAGGTGCCATTAAGGTGTTTAATGGCACGAATCGCTTTCAGATCCTCGATATATAACAGAAACCGTCTATATTGAAATACGAGCGCAATATGATCGATAAAAAAAATTGTAAAATAAAGGACTTGGGTTAGAATTCTTTACACAAAATTGACGTCCTCGAAGTACATAATTTAGCAACAAAGAAAAACTGTATCGAAAGCTTTTTATAGAAGTCGTTATAAATAACGTCGTAAAAGGAATTTGCACGTTCGAGGCTCGTATTCCAGATGGTCGGTTCAACAGGAAAAGATTTAATCTTTATTACGTGATGTATTCGTACCAGGAGGATAAACACTGGCTCGGTTGACGTTCGACGTCGCAAATAATATTAAAATTCATCTCGCGCGTTGCATTCTCGTTTTAAAAATAGATGAAACTCAGCGTCGACGAATGTCCACCGTAAATCCTCGATCGAGCTGATCATTATCTATCGGTGTCTTCGTTAAGCAGATGTAAAGACGCGGACGAGCCTCGCCTCGATATTTAAATCGCCAGTGACGCGGCTCGCGACATTGAGGCGTTCGTCCCGGTCTTTGGAGATAACGATAACGACGCGTTCGGCCGTCAGAAACAGCGCGAAACGGCAATTTCCTCTTAGAAATGCAGAGACGTTGGCTAATTCGCGGTCGACCGTGAACGACAACGTTGACGTTTCCCTTTTGTCGCTGAATGTCGCGCGTGCCGAACGGTGAAAACGGCCTTAAATGGCAACGCCGTAAACGCCATTAAAATTCTGTGGTCTGTACGTAATCGTTGTTTTCCACAACTCCACGCCGCTTTTTCTTAACGTTGCAACGTTTATTCACCGTCCCCTTTTTTCTCCTCTTCGCGTTTCAAGGTTGGATCGAAAAGCGACCGTGTTAATTACTTTCGATACAAAATCCCACGTATCGACGACAATACTTTTGTTGTTTATTGATCCAACAAGAACCTCGCCGCAGGAACAGAGTAACTGGCAAAAAAATTCAAGTACAAGGTCGCAATTAAGGGGCAATTAAAGTCGATTTTTGATAAGTCCGGTGGACAGCCCACCTCGTCGACGGATGATCCAACATGGTGTCGTGGTAGCCGGACCGATATCTCTTTGTAATCTCGTTCCACACAGGAACCCATTCGTCCGTGAACGTCGTAAATCATCCGTAAAGCGCGAATCGGCCGTAAGTAACTATCACCAGGCCCGACACTGACCCCATAAACAAGAACGGAAGCAAGGGATTTTTTTCAGCGTCGGATGACCTCACCCCTTTCCCCGGCGTTTCAGGTAAGAACGCAATTTCTAAGCGGATGAACGAACCTCCTGGATCCCCCCCCCGACCAACGGCCACGGGAGAGATCGATTATTCTATATCTTCTAATTCCGAGAAAATTACCAAGCAATTTCCGGGTTAGTCGTTCTCCCAGCGATAATCTCCGCGGAACGGAACCGTCCGCGCTTCCACGTCGGGTCATCGTCGATCGAAAGCGTCGCTGCGTGGAAATCTGAAATCATCCGTGAACTCGGACCCAACTGTAAATAATGATCCTGGGAACGTTCTCGACGACGTCTTTATCGTTTAACGTTCTCCGGGGCCGGGGCCGGGGCATCCTGCGACGTACATCGTCGAACAAAGACAAAAGAAACACTTCGTAACGAACGGACTCGATAATTGAGGATAATTACGCGAGCGTTGCCGGGATCGACTACTAATCGCGGGAATTAAAAGCTGAACGCTCGCGAGAAGATTTCTAGCTTAACAATTATGCTAATGGGATTACCGCTCGGAAGACTGTTCTGACGTAAAATTTAATTCCCTCCAATTTCTTTCACCGAAAAGGTGAACTTGCTTCTGTTTCTTTTTCCCCGTGGAAACAACGCGAAGCGTCGCGACACTTTCTTACGATCGTACCGGGTTCCGGTTCCATTTCTTTCTCCGCCTCTTCTGCGTCGTTTAAGCGGTTCCATTAAAACGCGCTATGTAATTCCGAGCCCGCAATTCAGAATCTATAACTCGTACACAACTCCGCTACTTTCTCCTTCGAAATGCAAGAACAGTTGTTGCAAAAAACTATCCAGTCCGAGGTACACAACCGTCACGATAAAACGAAGAGAAACCACAGGCGCTCGAACAATGCGAGAAAAAGTCGGATGGAGGGTGGGGTAGGGGGGGACAGGAAATCTAACCATAAAGGAAGCCAACGAATATATTTCTTAATGATGTCGTTAAAAGGTGCTCCGAAATAATTGCGGACGAGTCGAGAAATAAAGTCACAGTATTTTCAATTACGAGTCGAATTGGCTTTTGCGAAAAGGAATCGATTGAGAGACTGCGGATGTTTCGTGTGCGTGTAATTTGATTGCGAGGAGATTAGTTTCGTGTCTTATTATTCGTCTCGGATCTTCCAAGAGACGAGACCCTCGCTCGAAACAGTTCAACTCGTTGAAACTCGAGGGCGGGGTACCAGCTGCGAGTTAGATCCGAAACGTGTTACGGAGACGCGTTACATGAGAGCTTAGACGCCGACGCCAGGCCTCGCCTTCTGCGATGATAATGACCATGAAACGAGGCGGCGGTGCGCTCAGGTGAACGCAAAAAAACTGGCGTCGCCCGGAATGGAAGAACTCGTGGAAATCGCGCATACAAAAGCGGACTTAAGAAGCTCGCCTGGGAACTCTTTGAACGCTGAAAGCCACTTGGAGTGGCTGACCCCTTTTTTCGTACGGATGGACGGACCTGCGGGCGATTTACCCGTGAAAATCTACAATCTGACGAACCGTTTGCACTGGACGACCTCGATAAGACACCTTTCTGCGTCAGACTTTCCATTCGAGGCCAGGCAAACTGAGGAACACCGGAGGATTTGCAGGAAACAACTTTCAACTTTTGATATAAATAACCAACACTCTTCTTACAAAGCTCCTTCTACAACCCCTGTTCAACTTAGACTAAAATCTTTCACCATATTCAACATATTTAAGAAATCATTAGTTCCCATTAATTCGCGTACAGATACACACTTATTATATAATAATATCCTACACTACCGTGGAAAGAAAAAAAGTGTAGGTGAGACGTAAGAATCTCCGATAAAAATGAAGCCACAATTCGGAGTTAGCAAAAGGCAGAATAAGAGGGTTCGCTGATAAGATTCCTGGTCTTCGAAGGGGCGAGATCGTCAGAATTTCTGTGTGCTTAAGCGATACGAGGGAAGTTCTACGAATCCTGGAAAGTTTCGCAAGTGGGTTGATCGGTTCAAAAATCGTCGAACAAGTGCTGATCCGCAACACATGGGACGAGTGATTGAGCCTTCAGCTCCAACTCCGGAATCTCGTATTGATGAACTTATTCAAAGCGACGTACTATCGATAGGGTCTATAGAGACTCCTCGAAGAGAAAAACTTTTCCTTTGGTATCGTTTTATCGTAGGCAATCCAGCAAACTAGACAACGTAAACAAACTGCTCCATTTAGTTTCATTCTAATCGTAGTATAATTTTATCGCGTTAAACCTGTCATTATAGATCACCAAAGCCACATGTCCAGTGTCACGTTCAGAATGCGACAACGATAATACGATCGATTAAAGCAATGGTTGCCAACCCGTCGATAGTAGCAATAAATTCACTCGCGTAGAATTTTTGCCTCGAACACCGAATTACGATCAAATAAAATTCGATCTGGTCTAACGTAAATTCCAGTCACTGGAATCGCGAAA